TTGCCTCCTCCTCCTCCTCCTCCTCCTCCTCCTCCTCCTCCTCCTCTTCGCTCTCCTCCCCTCCCCTCTCGCCGCCGCTCTCCGCCCGCCCTCCCCTCTCCCCCTCCCCCCCCCCCCCCCTCAGAGGGGGGGCGGGCATTAAGCAGCGCCGCATCTCCCATCCTGTTGCCTCTTGCTCCAGGCGCGGCGGCCGCGAGCACGAGGCGGCGCGACGCCGCGACATCGCTGTGCTCGCGAACGCCATGGGCGTGGGCGAGGCTGACCTGAGGAACGAGCTGGACGCCCTCACACCAGTGGCCCGGCAACACAGGACGCAGACTGGCGCGAACACTTTGGATTCTTGGATCGCGGCCATACGCCGCGCGGAGTCACGCAAGTCCATGTCGTCGGCGCACCCGACGCACACCATCAGGGAAGGGATCTACCGCTTGGCCATGTTCAGGGCCTGCACGTCCAAGGTCGAGCAGGACTTCTCCAAGATTGACGAGGTGCTTGGGTCGAAGCGCCTGAACGGCGTGGGCTCCACGGAGGACGACGCCATCAAAGTCGTCCTGGACACGCCCGAGGACCCCGAGGAGTTGTCTGACGTCATCGTGAGAGCCCGCGTCATCTGGCGGGAGTGCTTGGGCGCGAGCCGTCCTGGGGACGGGCGGGGTCGCAGATTTGATTTTGGCGTTCTTGCGAAACGCAAGCTGGGCGGCTCCGTGGGCCAGACCCATTGCAAATTCGCCAGGAAGGATTTCGTGCATGCGCGACGTCAAGCTGCAATCGAGGTGGCGGAGTCCGTCGAGGTGGCCGATGCCCTCGACAAGATCGATGCTGCTGGATCTGCCGTCCTGCCTGGGTGGACAACTAAGCACGACAAGGAGCTTGCGTTCCAGATGGCGAAGCGGGACCACCGCTTGAGGGAGGCAGTTCATGCCGGTCATGTTTTCAACCCAGATGCAGATTTGGTCGAGGAGGCAGCCGCGCAGACAGCTGAAGAGAAAAAACGATATGTGGCGGCGGCCAGGAAAGCAGCACGCCAGCGAGAGCAACTTAGACCTGGCGACCTTGGTGACCTCCAAGGCCAAGCTGTGTTTTTTCTTCACCAGTCTGAGGCCTGCGACAGGCAGGCTGCTGCACTGCGCATGCGCGTTTTGCCGGCGATGATTGCAGGCGACGCGGTCGCTCGCGTCGTCGTGGCGGCCGACGTGTCCCAGATCCCTGAGTTCGTTGAGGTGTGCGCCCGGATCCTCGGGGGCAGTCTGGTCACGCCCGAAGTGTTCCAAGGCCTACGGAAAGGCCCGTGTCTGACGTTTTTCGCAGCCGCGTCTCTGGTGAATAGAGAGACCTGGATATCGGCCAGGTTTAGGGCCGCGAAGCCTGACATTGCACGATTGTTGGATAAGGCCGCCCAGAGCGACCAGAGCAAGTGGGCCATCATCGCATCAGCTGCTGAGTTCGAGGCAGCGCGGCACGCTGCCAAAATGAAGTCTGGAGTTCTAGGCCTAGCTACTGCTGTGGAGGTGTCTGCAATTAAGACTGCTATGCCCGCGCACGCAAAGCACGTATTTGAGTTGCCCGCGTTTCTTGCTTACAACTCCAAGCTCGACAGGGGTCGGTCGAGGACCGGTATTCAGTAAAACAATAAACATCATCATCATCAACATAATCCTCAACCTCCTCATCATCATCATCGTCGCCGCAGGGAGGTCGCCGGTAGAGAATGAGGCAAACGACGATCGCGATGATGATGGGGAGGAGGGAAATGATAATCAAGATGATGATGGCGATGATGAGGAGGACGAGGAGGAGGAGGAGGAGCAGGAGGAGGAGGAGGGCGGTGAACAGCTGGATGAGCAGGAGAAACGGCAGGAGGAGGAGGCCCCCCCCCGCCCCGAGCAGGGCCGCCCTCTCCCTCGCCCCCTCCTCCTCCTTCTCTTCCTCCTCCTCATCCTCGTCCTCCCTCCTCCTCCTGCTACTCCCCCTCCTCCTCCTCCTCCTTCTCCGCCTCGCTCTCCCTCCTGAGCCTCCTCTTCTTCTCCTTGCTACTCCCCTTCATCATCATTCTCCATCTCGCCTTCTCCCTCTCCCCCCTTTCCCTCCCTCCCCCCGCGCACGCGGCGGCGGGCGGCGGCGCCTCGTCGACGACGAGGCGCCGCCGCGAGTTGTCGTCGCCCAGCCGGCGTCCGGCGGCGGGAGTGGGGAGGGGGGGGGCAACTGCTGGCGGGAGCGACGACGACGACGACGACGACGACCGCGCCCCGCCAGGACGACGACGACAACAAGTACTACAACACCCATGGGGGGCGGGGGCAGCGCATTTTGTTTGTGTTTTCCTTGGGGGCCCTCCTCGTCGCCGCGGCTGGACGCGGCTCGGCGGACGCGTCGTCGTCGTCGCCGCCGCCGCCGTCGTCGACGCCGTCGTCGCCGTCGCCGTCGTCGGGTCGTCGCCGTCTTCGTTGGCTTCGTCGCCGTCGTCGTTCGTCGTCGTCGTCGTCGCCGCCGTCGTCGTCGTCGCCGTCGCCGTCGCCGTCGCAATCGCCGTTGCCGCCGCCGCCGTCACCGCCGCCGTCGTCGCCGTTTCGATCGAAATTCGAGGTTCGAGGTTTTCGATCGAAGTTACAGTTTATCGACTTGAGACCCATGGACCTTCGAGGCCCCATATGGCCCCATCGAGGATCGAGGTTCGAGGCCCCATATGGCCCCATCGAGGGCCCTGCGCGTCGCCACGGCTGGGCGCCGCTCGGAAAACTCGAAGACGATGATGAGGACGAGGGTGGGGATGAGAATGGGGTCGATGATAAGGAGGAGCAGCAGCGTCAGCAGCATCAGCAACCGCAGGATGAGGAGGAGGAGGATGAGGAGGATGAGGAGGAGGAGGATTAAAGCCAGTCTCAACGCATTCGGGTGCTTCATAGAGATTCGGGTGCTTCATAGCGATCCTCCTCCTGCTCCTGCTCCTGCTCCTCATCCTCCTCCTCTTCCTCGTCCTCTTTCTCCTCCTCCTCCTCCTTCTCCTCTTCCTCCTCCTCCTCCACCTCCTCCTCTTCCTCCTCCTCCTCCTCCTCCTACCAGGCGGGGTGGAGGGGGGGGGGGGGGGGGGGGGCGGAAGTGAGAGGAATGAGGAGGGGGGGGGGCGAGGGAAGCGGGAGGAGTTAGGATCGCGGGGGGAGGAGGGGGAGGCGGAGGAGGAGAAGGAGGGAAGTAGATAGACAGGGACGGCGAGGAGGGAGGGAATTGGGAGGATGGAGGAGGGCGGGAGGGACGGGAGGGAGGAAGGGAGGGAGGGAGCGAGGGAGGGGGGGAAGCGAGGGAGGAGGAGCAGGAGGAGGGAGTAGAAGCAGGAGCAGGAGGAGGAGGAGGCGGAGGAGGAGGCAAGGGACAGGGAAACAGGGTTGGAGGAGGAGGATGAGGAGGAGGAGGAGAGGAGGATGATGATAATGAGGAGGAGTCATGCTACTGCGGGGGGGGCTAAGGAGGAGGAGGATGAGGGGGAGGAGGAGGAGGGGGAGGAAGGAGGATAAGACGAGCAGGCGGAGGCATATACGTCTTCATACACCTACATACATACGCATACACATATACATATGTGGGCGTCATATACATGTGCATATGTGCATGTGTATGTGTATGTGTGTATGCGTATATGTGTATGTGTATGCGCATATGCGTGTGTGTATGTGTCTATGTGTATGTATATGTGTATGCACCTATGCGTATGTGTATGTGTGTATGTGTATGTGAAAAAGGAGTGCGTCGTTGGGACCCGTCGGCGTCGTCGTCGTCGTAGGAACCCGCAAGAACCTTGCTAAGGACCGCCCAGTAGGGGAGGGAGGGGGTTTTGCCGGGGGAGGGGTTCCAGCAGGGGGGGGGGGGGGGGATTTTCGGAGGGGGGGGGGGGGGCGACCCCCGGGTTCCGGAGGAAAAGGTTGGCAATTTTCCGCAGTAAAGCGGCGGTGGATCACGCTCTCTCTCTGTCTCTCTCTCTCATATATATATATATACATACACACATAGCCCTCGTGGTTGAGATCTGCTACCGCTCTCTCATGATCCGCTATCCCATCCAGGCCTGGCATTCTCCACGGCACCGTCTCCGTAGATCAGATAAAGACGGGTCCCTCGATCAAAGTACGTATGTGGTTTTCGAATGTCATTGCATGGTTTGCTTCAACCGCCGTCCGTCCTATTTGAATGGTAGCAGGGTGCCGCCATTGAACGCATCACGATACCGTAAGCACGCGACGGTCCCCTAATTTCATGTTTCTAACTCCTCCTCCGTCCTCATTGGTGGCAAACTCCGGGCAGGTTGAGTTCATCAGTGTATCCAGGAGCTGATCTGACATTTGTGGGTTTCGGGCTTTCAACACATAAAACATTGTCTTGCTTCCCCGTGTGACATGGGGAGTGATGCGTGCACTGGTTTCGACTAGGTTCGCGTCAGGGATGCACAGATTCGCCGCGAATTGCCACCGAGATGCAAGGTGCGCAAGGGCCACGCCCTCCAAAAGAATTACCGCTCAGAAAAGAAATGAAATTCGGGGATACATCCCCAGGGGGGCTGCCCTGACGCACCTCTGGCGAGTATTGACGACTCCATCATCATATCTCCCGAGTTTGGCCATCTTGTTTTGTCCAGTCCAAACTACCGCAAAGTTGGGGATTGGGGTAACCATGCTCCATGGGGGGCCACCGCCGCGACACGTTAAGGAAAAGCGCCTCCTTGCTCCCCTCTCACATCCACATGTGGCACCTGCAGGGGAGGATGAGGAGGAGGAGGAGGAGGAGGAGGAGGAGGAGGAGAAAGAGGAGGAGGAGGAGGAGGAGGAGGACGAGGAACGAGAGGAGGAGGAGGAGGAGGCTCCCCTCCTGCTCCTCCTCCTCCTCCTCCTCCTCCTCCTCCTCCTCCTCCTCCTCTCTCGTGTTGCTTTCCATGTGTCCGTGCTGACCGGTCCGTGCTCGGTCGAACTCCGCAGCGCGCAAAGTGCCCCGCGCCATTGCCACGTCCGCGCCAGGCCTTCCCCCCCGGGCGCAGCGGGGACGCCGACACAGCGGCGGAGGAGCGCGAGCGAAGGCAGAAGGACGCGTCTCGGGGCAGGAGGGGGAGGAGGAGAGAAGACAAATTACATAGACCGTGATTTTTTGAAGTCCGCGCCGATTTCTTGGGTCGGCGCTGGGCCTCCTGGCGGCGCCTTCTGGCAGGCGTTCCGAAACGGTCCTGGCCAGGCGCAGTTGCTGGAACGCGTCCCAGGGCGAGAACATCCCAGGGAGTCTGGGCCTGAGGGTCCAAAGTCGACCCCTGGACCTGGTCTGGGGCGTGTTCCGACTAGAGGTTCGAGGTGGGTCTAGCCGCGGTGACATGAAGCCTCCCAAAGGCACAGAAAAGGCCCAACACGCCCTCGAACCTCGAACCTTCAAGCATCCGCGCAGAGCGCTGCTGGGGTGTACAGGCGAACAGCCAGGACGCTGAAAGAAGGGGCTCGCTGGCCCTCATAGGCCGTGCCCTGGTTGTTCCTCTCTGTGCTCCTCGTGCTCCCAGGGGCTCTTCTGGCGAGACCCCGCTCCCCGCCGCGGCGCCCCCCTCCTCGTGGCAGCGGCCGAGCTGAGCACAGGAGCTGGCGCGGGACGAGGAGCTCGCGGCGCAGCTCTGCGGGGACCTGCGGCTGACCTCCCCCGCCGAGCACGGGGCGCCGTGCGCGGAGGCGCCCCTGCCGCGGGTCGGCGACGGCGCCCTCGCGGCCAGGGCCCCCGCGGAGGCGGCAAGGGGAGGCGCCGCCGACGGGAGCGACAATTCGACGGGCTCCTGGATCGCAAGGGGTCGAGGCTTGAGCCCAGCTGCCGGGCTCGAAGGGTCGACGATCGACCTCGAGGTGGAGGGTCAAGGTTTTTTGGGAGTCAGCGCTGCTGCGTTCTCTTCAAGGTTGTGGCCGGAACTCATCCTGGGACGGGTGCGGAGATTTCGGCCATCCAGTGCGCGAAACTTTCCCAAGGGGAGGGGGTCGGGAGTTCTCCGCGGACTGAACACAAATAGCATCGGATGATGTCTGGGATAGGATTGATAGAACCCCCACAGTGCCAAGTCGATGGGCGAATCCTCTCGTTGGGCACTTTTCCTTCAGGTCCGAGCAGGTGGGGTCGGAGGATCGTGCCGCCTCTCCGATGCATCGTCATCGCGGCTCGATGTGGAGCGCGATTTTCTGCACGCCGACGCGTCGCCGGTGCATCCGCGATGCATCCGCGATGCATCGGTGATGTATGGGCGATGCGGCGCGATCCACCGATCCCCTCTGCTCCGGCCCCAGTTGGGAGACCTCCAGGAACGAGGATCTTTCTTCTGCGGCGGCAGGCCCGCTGAAACAGAACGAAGGCGGCTCCGCTGGCGGAAGGCGGGAGGAAGCCGACGGGAGTGAAGGTTGCGCTCTGAGTGGTGCGCCGACGGGAGCAGAAAGGTGAAGGAGGATCGAGTTTCGAAGAGCTTCGGGGATCGAAGTCCTTTCGCGGTTTTTGATAGCCTCTGGAGCCGTCGGACATCGACCTGGGGGGAAAGGTGGCCAGGATAGGCCCTGGCAGGGGTCTGGGTACTGGTTCTGACCGGAGTTTGACCAGGATCGGGGCGCAGGCAAGCGGCAAGCGGGGTCGGCGCTGACGGAGGTCAGCATGCTGTCCCCCCTCATCCCTGCGCCAGGCCGCTTCTGGGCTCCCTGAGGCAGCCTCGGGCCCGCAGACTTCGGCGCCGCCGCCAGCTGCGGGCAAGAGCCTGATCACACGGGGACCGCTCGGTTTAGCAATGGGTAGCCCCTGAAAGTGCGGCCCTGCTCGGACATCTAGGTCTTAACACGTTTGCTCGCCTGCTTTGTGCCTCGGAGAGGTTCCTCGTCGTCACGGTTAGATTCCCGCCGAAATTCTGGTCAGGACGCACCCCATGGATGTGTTCAGAGGACGGCTTGTGACTCAGACCCTCAGACCGGTTTCGCAATTGGTCCCAGACCTCCGGAGACTCAAAGACTCTTGAGGTTTTCGTAATTTTCTGTATCTGGAGGCAGGCGTCTGATTGTGAAACTATTCTACTGGTCCCAAGGGAAAGATTGGCCCTCAAATTGTGGCCTTGCTCGACTCCAGGCCTCCAAAATGAGGCTGGATTAGACGTGGTCGGAGGATGGCGCCGCATTGTCGATGCATTGGCGATTACGCGGCGCAACCCAGAGCCCGAGTTTCGCCATCCCGACGTCGCCGATGTATCGCCGATGCTTCGCCGCTGCATCGCCGCTGCGGCGCGATCCTCCGACCCTGTCTACTCCGACCCCATGTGGGAGGCCTCCATCGAGGGGCGGACGAAGCGAGGCAGAGATTTGTACATCTCCACCGCCTGGGGGGCGCATCTTCGTTGACCTCGGGAGGAGGTGGACACAGGCATATTCGGAGCTCCCAGGGCCCAAACATGTCAATATCCACTGGATCCTGGAGAGCAAGAACTCCCGTAGTCGATGCACGAGTAACATGATTGAATCATCGACCCCTGCCTCGCATTAGGGTAAGTGGTGGGAGCGCAGCTTGCCGCGTGCAGCTGGCTTTAGCTTTGCCGCCAGGCGATTCTCAACTCCCCTCCATGCAGGACTCATAGTCAATAATTGCATGATGTGTTCGATCATGGGTTCCTTGCTAAACAAAGCTATGCAGTGTTCGCCCCGAAGACCGTGAGAAGACCGCCGGACACCGCCCGAGGGTCCATAGTCGAATCTCATGGACGCCTCCCGTTCCAGGAGGCACCAGGAAAATTGGCGGCGTGCAGCTGATTCGCTATAACTTCCCTTCCCGTCCGCCCTGATGCGCGAGGGGTGGTGCGCACAAGCTCGCCTGTTTTGGAATGGGAACTCACGCTGGATTGGGCCATGCATAAGATATCCCGACCTCCCACCATATGATTTGTCATAATTCGCTGCGGCCGTCCTGCATTTCGCCCTCTTGGTCGCTTTGCCGGGCCCTGGGCAAAAATCAATAGATCGGGGACGCACCAATTAATAGATCGGGGAGCGGGGCGGGGCGGGACAAGCCCCCGAGCAGAAAGTTCCTTCCCCTCACTCGTTTCCCGCGTAGGTGCGGGCACCCCGCACGGCCTTCAAGAGGGGGACGATACATCTTCTGAAGAGGCCCCCCCTGGAGCGTAACGATCGTTACCTGGGCCAGCACCCCCTCTCCCCGGATAACGGTAACATTGACCGCCCCTTACATGCTGGCTCGCGCGCATATTATGGCGATTGCACCGCAACCCCCTCAACCACCCGCCCAAGCGTTATTGTTCCCCAAGTCCCACAACCCCCCTAGGTAACGACCGTTATCGGAAATATCGGAAGAACAATCTCCTGTGCGCTGGCTCGCGCACTGCTTCATCCACGCCCTCAGGCCCCCCCCTCTTCGGCGATCCCTTCCGAAGACCCCCTGATTTTCGAAAAGCACTGGCTCGTGCACTGCCTCATCCACGCCCAACTCATTGTACGTTGCATCTTCGGGCGGTTGTCTGCCCGATGGATTGAGGGCGTTTCTTGTTTCGCCGCGGTTCCGATGCGGGCTCGACTTCGACGCAGATCCGACGCGCATTCGACACGCATTTGACGCGAGTTCGCCGCGCATTCGACGCGCATAGCTCTCGTCCATGATCGGAACACGATTGTGGGACCGCGGGCTCCGCGCGCCCCACACAGCAGTGCACGGGCACTTCGACGTGGTGCCCGTCGTTGGACCCGCTCGCTCGCTCGCTCGCCCCCTACCTCCATGGAAGGGCCGCCCTCCTCCCCCTAGCCTCAGGATCTGATCGATCCGATTCGATATCGATCTCGGCCCGCTAAATCCGAGTTTGCTGCGTGAGTCTGATGAGCCGACGCGGCCCGATGCCTGCACGGCGCTATCGTGCATCCCGGCGTGGCCGATCCGGTTCGGTTTCGACCTCGTGCCAGTGCGGCCCGGTCCGACGCTCATTCATGCCGATGCGATCCGACTTCCCGATGCGATTCAGTCTGCCGATACGGCCTCCCACAGGCCAGTTTCGGACCCTGGGACCGTCAAGCACCTCTGCTCAGGACGAACAGTTGGTCACAGGGAAAGGGTCGAGAAGTCCGGACCCCTTAGACTCGAAAGTATCGAGTCGGGGGTCTGGGGGGGAGGAGAAACAAAGAAGGGAGAATGCTCCGTCTCCGTTTCCCAGGCCAGGGAAGCGCTTCGCAACACCGCCGCAGCCAGTGCCCTAGGATCTCGGACGGTACCCACTCGGGCGTCGAGTACCACGCCATGGATTCTGACGGGGACGACGCGTTCCTGGAGCCGCCGCGCACGAACGTCATGGGGACCGCTCAGGTCATCGGGGGACGCGGACCTCGCCGTGATGAAAAGGGGTCGTGAGGGGATTTCCTCATTTTGTTTCTCTGTGTTTGCTCTCTCAGGGCCCTTCCCAGGGCCCAGAGTGTTTTCCCTCGTGGCCCCATTCCCTCGTGCCCAAAGACTGCATACCTGCACCAATCCTGGCCAGGCCGATCCTGGACCAAGATGAGCGTACGTGCCATCCTGGCCCAACCAGGGAGGGGGCGTACCCAGATGTCCTCCAATCTGATCTTCAAGCTGCGGCCATAGAGCTCCCGGCCGCTTCCCTGGGGGTAGTTCAGTGTCCCAGATCTGTTGCTCACTTGCCCCAGAGACCGAAAGCGGCGTCCAGAGGCCCAAATGAAGGAAAAACTACGCGATTGAAGAAAGTCATCTCGTCGCAGGTTTGGGCATATGCCGATCCGGGCCCAGGATGGGCATGACCAGGATGGGTGCCAGTGTGTCGTCAGCGCGCTCAGCAGGTCATGTGTCGAGCCCTGACGACGCTCGTGATGAGCTGGCGGAGCCCGCCGACCGTACCGGGCGACAGCCTCACTGCGAGATTGGGCTGATCATAGAGAAAGGGCGCCTTTTCTCTTCCATCCCTGGCACCATCCTCGCATTCCAAAGTCACGACGGAAGGTCGATAGCAGTTTTCGGCATCCGGGGGCCCCTATCTCCCGTCTGTTGTGCCTCCCTCCAATCCTTCTCCGCTGCGCCTGCCAGGAAGAGGGTACGAAAATTGTTGGGCGATGTCGGTTCCAACCCCGCCGCCAGCACAGCTTCCATCGATACATGGCGGCCTTCGGCGCCGGAAGGCGCCAGAAAAATCAGCTGCAGTTGACTCGCTAAACCCTTTTTGCCCTGACTTTACAAGGGCTGAAACCAGCACCCTGACTGCAGAATGTAGATGCCGGCCGAGATTTGTTGTTATGTGTGTGCAGTCCTGAGAGGTATGGGGTGCTTTAAGCTAAGCGCTCTGGAATGCCAGGGTTGCTATCCCCCCCGTTCAGGGGCGCCGACGGGGGGACTTTCTCGGAGGGGGAGGGGGATGCATCGACCCCCAATCGCCCCTTCATCGCCCATGGGGCATGGGGGCCTGGGTGGCCCACCCCGCCCAGTAACGTTCGTTGTCGCTACGTGGTGCCTATCGCCTGTCGCTGGTGCGTCGGTAATGCATCGCCGACTCCAGGTCGACGCCTACACCCCCCTCTTCTACGCCATGCCATGCCGTGCTCTACCATGCATCGCGTATCCTCTCGCGATCATTGCCCTGCTCGACATCCGACTGTGCGAATAGAGAGGAGATCTACGCCATGGTAAGGGACGGGAGGGAGTGGTAGGACGTCAGATATGACGCGAGCGCACCTAGCTTGGCCTGTCTTTGCCTGTCGCCCTCCTTCGACCCCCCCCCACCCTCTCATCGCCCGCCCCGAGAAGAGGCTCCCACAACGCCCTGGAGAAGAGGCCGCCGTCTGAGCTGGCGCGACTGCCGGAGACCCTGGCCGGCTTCGCCGAGGCCAGCTGGTCGTGCGGGCTCGGCCCGGCCCCCCCCCGCTGGCGGATTTCCTACCCAGCAGGAGGCCCAGGGCCCAGGGAGAGGCTCTGTCGGCTTGATGCTCTCGGGCGCCTGCCCCTTGCAGACCTCGGGCCTGAGGTCGTTCTGCATGCTCCCGGCGGAGCAGGACGTCATGGTAATGATGCTGTCTGGGATCTCCAGGTCGAGGAGCAAGACGCCGCAGTAATCATGTGGCCAATCATTTCCAGATTGACTCCCGCGCGGACTCCAGAGCTCCGGAGACCAGGGCCTCCCAGATACCGCAGAATTCCTGAGACGTGTCCTGACGCGATCGCATCACGGCGTAATGCCCCACTATCGCTTTGTTGTCGGCGGGACTCAAAAAGCGACTCGGGACAAAAAGAGAGTCGCATGTAAAGGGTCGGGCGGCTTGGGGCCCCGAGGCACGGCAATATCGGGTCGTTGGAGGTCGTTCAGCAGCTTGCACGTCCAGCCCAGTCGCCGCGATTGTTTGGATCGGATCTGTCGCGCAGCTTGGCTTCAAGTTTAGTGCTCTAGTCGTTGACCTCCTAATCTCTCCTCCTCTTCCTCCTCCCTCCACACTAACTTAAGTTCAATACCATTCTTCCTCTCTCCCCATGACATTGTCTGGGACGTGGCTCCAACCATCCTGTGGTGTTGGGTCCTCGTTTCGAAGGGACAGCGCCCCGCGTCACTCACTCCTCTTTCTCCCCCTTCCTTCCTCTTCCCCCTCCTCCTCCCTCCTCCCGTCACCCCCCTCACTTTGGTACACCCCTCACACGTTTCGTGGCCCCATTGGGAGTTCCACCCAAGGCCCCGGTGCCACTGCCCGCATGCGTCACGCACACCTTTTCCAGCACACCCCTCACACGTTTTGTGGCCCTACAGGGAGCTCCACCGAAGGCCCCAGCGCCGCCGCCCCCATGCGTCACGCACGCCCATTCCAGCACACCACTCATTCGTTTCGTGGCCCCAAAGAGAGCTCCACCGAAGGCCTCAGTGCCACCGCCCGCATGCGTCACGCACACCCATGTCTCCTCTCCTCACACGTTTCGTGGCCCCACTGGGACCTCCACCGAAAGCCCCAGTGCCACCGCCCGCATACGTCACACCCAGTTCGGGACACCCCTCACACGTTTCGTGGCCCCACAGGGAGCTACACCGAAGGCCCCAGCGCCGCCGCCCGCATGCGTCACGCACATCCATTTCGACACACACCCCTCACACGTTTCGTGGCCCCACTGGGACCTCCACCGAAGGCCCCAGCGCCACCCCCCGCATGCGTCATGCAAACCCATTTCGCCACACATCTCATACGTTTCGTGGCCCCATAGGGAGCTCCACTTTCGGCACACATCTCACACGTCTCGTGGCCCTACAGGGAGCTCCACCGAAGGCCCCAGTGCCACCGCCCGCATGCGTCACGCACACCCATTTCGACACACTCCCCTCACACGTTTCGTGGCCCCATCGGGAGCTCCACCGCATGCGCCAGTTGCTGCGTTCGCATGCGCCCACCGCGCCCATTTCGGCACACCCATCATGTTTCGCGGCACCATATCGAGCTCCACCGACGGCCCCAATGGCTGCGTCCGCATGCGCCCACCGCACCTAGGCACGTCTGTCACACGTTCCGTGGCCCCATAGGGAGCTCCACCGACAGCCCCAGTGGCTGCTTTCGCATGCGCCCACCAGACAGATTCTGGCACACCTCACACGCTTCGTGGCCTTCTAGGGAGATCCTCCGAATGCGGTGCAACGACGGTACTCACAACTGCATATCGTTGGGTCCTTCGCCAGACTAATTTTTAATGTCGTTTCCGAATCCGATTGTCTTCGGTTTTTCAGAATGGTGTTGCCGATGCAGCGTGGGCCTCACTTTCGGATCGGCGTTTTGCCCCGTCGTTCAGAATGGCGCTCTCGCCCTAGCGTAGGCTATTTTTCTGATTCCCGCAGGCCTCTCAGGTCCCACACAGGGCCCACAGGTCCCACAGGTGTCACAGGTCCCACAGGTCGGGCAGGTCCCGCAGGCTCCACAGGTGTCGCAGGTCTCACAGGTCCCACGGAGGTCCCACAGGCCCCCATAGGTTTCGCAGGTCCCACCGGTCCCACAGGTCTCACAGGGTCTCGCAGATGTCGCAGGTCCCACAGTTCCCACAGGTCCTACAGGTCCCACAGGGCCTACAGGTCAAACAGGTCCCACAGGTGTCGCAGCTCTCATAGGCACGCGTGGAAGGGGGGTTCAGGCATTAGCTGCCTTGTGGGACGTACACAATCCTCGATAGGGCGTACATGGATTGAGTGCTCAGGCGTCAGTTGCCATGCGGGAAGTCCACCATTCCCGAGCGGGCACGCGTGGAAGGGGGGTTCGGGCATTAGCTGCCATCCTGGAAGTGCACCATCCTCGAGCGGGCACGAGGGAAGTGGCCTCGGTGAGCAGGAGTGATGTCCTCCTTTTTCCCTCCTCCACCCTCCCCCTTCCGCCCTCCCTCTTCGCTTCTCGCTGGGCCTCTGCTGGGGTGCGTTTCGACCATGGTTTCGAGGCGGACCCATCCGTGGCGACGAGATGCCTCCCGAAGGCAGCAAACATTCTTTGAATCTAGAGCCTCGGTCCCTCAATCAGTCACTCTTCTGCCCTGTCCCTCTTCGTCGGCACCACGACGAGGAGGAGGGCGACGATGACGACGACGACGACCACCACCACCACCACCACCGCCACGGCGACCACCACCACCACGACGACGACGACGACGACGACGACGACGACGACCCCGACGAGGACCACGACTGCCACGACCACGACAACCACGACCAAGACGACCACGTCAACCACGACGATCATCTTGCGAACATGTGATCTTCATGTGTTTTCCCTGTCCCTTATATTTAATCGCTTCGCTCATTCCGCCGGCCCACATTGTATCGCTGGTGCTATATGTTTGTGTGTTCGTGGCGAGCGAGAAGAAGTTGGAGGAGGGGGAGGAGGAGGAGGATGAAGAGGGGAGGATGAGGACGAGGAGGCGGTCTCTCGGTGGCTTCTTGGAGTATTTTTGGGGCCAACCCTGGTCGTGGACAAGACGCCTCTTTGGGAGGCTTCGTGGGGTCTCTTGGGAGGCCTCTCGGGGGCCTGTTGGAGGTGTTTTTGGGGCCTCTTGGGGGCCTCTTGGGGCCTCCTGGGGGCCTCTTCGGGCAAAGATGTCGAAATGCCCGTTCGGGTCCCCCGTCTGTGCCCTCTCTTGGAGCCGTCTTGGGGGTGTATTGGGCCGTCTTGGAGGCCTCTTGGGCAGTCTTGGGGCCATCTTGGGCCGTTTGGGGGCCCTCTTGGAGACCTCTCGGGCCGTCTTGGGGCGGTCTTGGGGGCCTCTTGGGGCGTCTTGGAGCGTCGGAAGCTGAAAATGCGAGAACGCCAAAAACCTTCAAAAACCAATGGAAAATCAACGATTTTTGCTTCTTGGGGCCCTTTTTGGAGGCCTCTTAGATGCTTCTTGGGCCATCTTGGAGGCCTCTTGGGCCGTCTGGAGGCCATCTTGGGCGTCGTGGAGCGATCTTCGGGCGTCTGGGGCCCCTCTTGGACCATGTTTGGGGCCTCTTGGGGCCCTCTTGGGGCGATCTGGAGCCCTCTTGGGCTCCGAAACAGAATTCCGGCATCTCTGACCCCTAGTCTGCCGGGGATCTGCCGGGGATCGCCCGGGGTACTTTTCGCTCGGGGACCCCCAGGGGCCGCCCTGCGCGCGCGAACTAGAAATACTGTTTACCTGTTACCGGAGATCTTAGCACGCCCTGGCCCGTTGGGCTGGCGAATTCGCCCACTAGGTCTATCATAAACCAATCCCCTTCTTGGAAGGCTTCTTTTCATAACAGCACCCGGGAGACGCATTCATCAGTGCACATCACGCTGTGTGCGCGCCACGCATTCGCCAATCCCCTTCTGTGTGCGCACCGCACCGCCATGGCCGTCATGCGATCTTTCGTGACCGCGTGCAACTCACTAACTTGAGTGAACTGCGAGGACGTCTTGGTAGAGACCGCCGTTCCTGAGATGTGGGGCTTCCAGGGCGTCTCAGTTGAAACCCTGAAGAGGAAGAGCGGGAGCCGTTGTCGTCTTCGCTGGGCTCTCACATATTTGGTTCACTGCCGAGGACGTCTCGGGCCAGAGCGCCGCCTCTGAGTGTTACAGTGCGTATGACCAGGGCGCACGCGAGTAAACGGCGAGGAAGTATCGAACAGGAACCGTTGTCGTCGCAGTTGTGCCTTCACCAATTTGTGTGAATTGCGAGGAATTCTCGAGCGAGAATGCTTTCCCTGAGTTAGGGGGCCTCTCTGGCCAGGGCGTGTCTGAATCACTTGCGAGGTCTATCGTGCAGGAACCGTTGCGTCGCCGCGGGGCCTTCACTAACTCGGGTTCGACTGCGGGGAAGTCTCGAGCAAGAGCGCTTCCCCTGAGTTCGGGGGCAAGTATCGAGCGGGAGTTGTTGTCATTATAGTTGTGCCTTCCCCAACCTGAGTGGATTGCAAGGATCTGCCTCTCGAGCCAGAGCGCCGTCCCTGTGTTCGAGAGGGGCTCTCTGGTCAGGGAGTCTCGAATACCTTGTGAGGGAGTATCGGGTGGAAGCCCGATGATGACGACATCAGCGACGACATCGACGTCGACGTCGTCGTCGTCATCGATTGGCGCTGCGTCGCCCAGGCGTTTTCCGCCGTGGACGCATCCTTCGACCCCGCCCGCGCGCGGGCCATGGGCGAGGAGCTCCAGGATGGCCCCGCCCCGCTGTGTGCGTCCCCTTCCCTGCCCCCCCTCTCAGAGGGGCAATGGCAGGGGGGACTGTCCCAGGGAGGGAGACACCGACCCCCAATCGCCAGTTCGTCACCGATCGGGGTCTAGGTTCCCCACTCCGCCCAGGAACGCGCGATTTCACAATATCGAGGGCATATCGCCAATCTAAGTGCGAGGCATCTCGCCTCTTCCAAGTCAATGTTCTATTCATGGCGGGACCCGATGAAATTCTTTGCACGCCGAGCGAACATGCCTGGCTGACTGACTGACGTCAGCAGGCAGTTCGGGCAAAACATGTTTGGCCCCACGTCGTCTCGAGTGCCCGCGACCGCAATAGGGCGACACATTTTGGGCCGCGGGCACCTTCAACCGTGCAATGCCGCAGCCGCACCCGCAACTGGGTTGACGCGCGCACGCGCAGCCGCAGCCGCAACCAGGCAACACATTCCTGGCCGCAGGCACCAGCAATGTCAATTCGTGATCGATAGATGACGTGTTCCTTCCCCACCCCGATGGCCGGTGAACGGACGCCGTGGGTCTGGACGTTTTTTTATGACGCGTGCCCGGGACGTGACCGCGCCGTGGATTGGCACAAAGAGTACACATGAGGCATTACTAACCGAGCGGGAGCAAACCTGCACAGCGCAGCGCAATGATTTGTGAGCGCTGTGCATGCGAGTCTTTGCCCTCTCTTGCGGGCAAGCAGGTTTGTTCTCGAGCCCAGCACGCGCTTTCGGCCAGCGCACCGCCCTGAGAAGGGGTGGAGGGTTTGGGTAACCCAGACCTCCGTCGTGATTTTCCCAACTATCCTGTGGTGTTAGAGCGCCCGCGTCCCTCTCCTCTCCTCCTCCTTCCCCTCCTCCCTCCTTCCATCCTTGCCTCTGCCATCCGCGTGTCTCTGTTTCGGCAAACTCCGTGGATGCGTTCGCATGCGCCCACCGCGCCCACGTTGTCACACCCCTCACACGTTTTGGGGCACGCCGCCGCGGCAGAGGGCGCCCGCGACAGCAGTGGGCGAAGCCAGTGTTTGCCCTGGAGCAGGTGAATTTGTGACCTCCCCTGTCTTGCTGCTCTCCTCCTCCTCCTCCTCCTCCTCCTCCTCCTCCTCCTCCTCCTCCTCCCCATCCTCCTCCTCATTGCTGGCGTGCTACTTGTACTGTCTGTAACCGGTGCCTCGCAGTCGGGCGCTGTATACTGTGCGTCACAGTCGTGATGCGCTTTGTGTTTCTGCTTCACAGTCGTGTCGCACTCCGTTTTCCGCCGCGCGCTATCGCAACCCGGAGGTGATTGTTTACACCTACAGGCAGGCGCACCGCCAAGCATCGGTCCAATAGCGATCCGAGTGTTTTTGCCAACGCGTCTTACAGATGCACGGCTTCTGACCTGACCTGACCTGGGTGTGTGTATGTGCGGCCGTTTTTGCACTGGCATGTGCGTGCGTGTGCGCGGCATGTGCCCAACATGTGCCCGGCATGTATGGGCCGTCTGGGTTTGATGTCCTACTGTGCGTGCGCGCCCAGGCATGTGCAGGCTCATGTGCGTGGTGTTTTATGCATCATGTGATTGCACATGCTCGCGCATGCCGGCGCACATGCCCGCGCACGCTTGCACATGCGAAGGTGTGCGAGAGTTGCAGATTTGCCAGCGGCACATGCACGCACATGTTTGTGCAATCTTTCTGCGGATGACCGTGCGGGCTCGCACCTGCACCCACGTGCATTGAAACGCGCGTCTGCACACGCTCGTACATGCCGACGCGCATGCCGACGCACATACCGACGCACATGCCCGCACATGCCCCCCGATTTGTTCGGGATGGCCTTCCGCAATGTTGGCTTGCCTGGGCTGCCCAAGTTTTCCTACGACCATGAAGGGGATCAGGTGCCGCACATGCTGAGGGAGCTTGCGCGTTTGACTCGCCCACTGCTGATGGGAACGGTTCTTCGCCCGCAGGCCACGTCTATGTGATTCGCCCTTTTGTCGTCGTATCGTCGTCCGTTGGCTGAATCTGGATGTCAGGGTCGGTTCCGGGCCAGGAATTGTCCTGTGGGGTGGGCCCAGAACATGGTTCCCAGGGCGGTTCGGGGCTCGGACTGGGTGGAGGCGTGGTTGGCACCTGGTGGGGGGTCGGACCAGGCTGGGGCGTGGCAGGCCTTGGCGGGCACGTGGTGGGCGACATGGTGGGGGGGTCAGGGTCGGCGCCAGGCCAGGAATTCTCAGGTGGGGTGGCCCAACAACAAAGTTCCCAGGGCAGTTCGGGGGTCGGACCAGGCGGGGGCGTGATGGGCACCTGGTGGGCGCGCGGTGGGCGACTTGGTGGGGGTTGAGGGTTGGTTCCCGGCCAGGAATTGTCGAGTGGAGGGGGCCCCGCGACGGTGCGGGGTCAGGGCGAGGTGGGCACCTGGCGGGGACTTTGCGGGCGATGAAGGTCAGTTCTGGGCCGGAATCGTCGGGTGAGGGAGCGCAAGAACAGAGTTCCCACGGCGGTTGGCGAATCGGGCGGGGCGGGCACCTGGTGGACACTTGGTGCATTTTGGTGGAGGGTCAGGGTCGTTTCCGGGCCAGGAACTGTCGAGTGGCGGGGCCGAAATCGAAGCTCCCAGGACGGCGCTGGGGTCGCGCGAGGCGGCCACGGGGTGAGCGACCTGGTGGGATAATCAGGGTCGATTCCGGGCAAGGAGTACTTGAGTGGAAGGAGACCCAAGAACACGAGTAGCTCCCATAACGGTGCGGGGATAGGGCGAGGTGAGCACCTGGTGGAGTTTCCACATCGTGAACCCGCAGATTGTCCCGGCCCTTTTGCTAAGACCGTTTATCATGTTGGGCTAGTTTTCGATTGTTTCAGACCCAGATCCAGGCCAACCACCTGTCACGCTTTTGGTCGCGACGCGGGGGTGCCAGGATCCCCTGGAAGACCATTTGTCCTCGAACGACCTGTTCTGGGCGGGCGATCTGGCCAGGCTTCCGCAGCAGATCCAGCCGTGGCGACGGAGACCCCACCGCCCACCCGTGGCCCGACATGGGCGACAACGCATGCATCGAAACCACCAATTCATCTTCCAAGTTCGCCCTTCTTCCCCTGCACTTCCCCCCCCAGCGGCGTGGAGGAGGCCGCTCCCGAAGTGGCCCGCCTGCTGCGCACGGGCGGCGTCACCGCGAGGCCGTCCATGGTGCACGGAGACTCACCTCCCTCGTTTTCGGGTCGGCGGGGTCGAGGTTCATCATGATTGTTCCTGCCGTTTTCTTGTTTCACGCCCATCTCGAGAATGGTCCTTTTGTTGTCGTATTTTTGCCGGCGCGTTCATTCTGGCAGTCTTGGAGGAGGCGGGGGTCGATTCAGTGAGGTTCGGAGGAGGCCCAGCGTTTGTATGACCAGCGACCAGCGGCGCACTGGCTTTGGCAGGTGGCGCGCGGATGCGTTTGTTTGTCGTGTTTGTGGTAGCCGGCAGCCGCTCCAGGGTCTTGCGTGGTCTTTGGTCCTGAAAGTAGCTGAAGAGTGGTTGTAATGTGCGTGCAGCATCCCAGAGGACAAGAGAAAGTGTTGAGTGATGTTGTCAGACGGCCCCGTTCCGCTTACACCCGAACGTGACGCCCCGCTCTGTGTCTACAATCCAGGAGGATTTTCAGGCATGGCGGCTCTGTCGGTGGTGCCGCACCGGATTTGCAGGCCACCATCTTGTTGAGGTTAGTTTGCGCCCATCGCAGAAACGAGGACGTGCAATGTCAGATCGTATGTTAAATTATCCCTTGCCTCCCCGGTGTTGAGATCACAGTCCTGAGAGTTGACATCGCCTTTGACGTTGGCAGAGGCGGCCGCATCCATGAAAGCACCATCTTGGAACGGATTGAGCACATTCTGTGCCACCGTGTTACCTCTCCGGGAGGAGGGCCACCGTGCGGGACTTGGTCTGCTGAATATGGCCCTCTGCCTTCAGATCGCCTCTTAGGTGTTGTTGATGACTCAAGAGTCGGTGCAGGGGGGTGTGGGGGGCTGAGCACCTCGCCCCCGCTCTTTGGGCTCCTGGGGCTCCCACCACCTCAGATGGCGCCCCTTGAAGGCTCTTGCGGTCGCTCACTGTTTGTTCGGCCCCGGCTGGATTCGGTTAATGCGGGCATCGGAGCCCATCACAGTGCCCGGTCAGTGCGGGCGGAGCGCCCATATGTATCATCTCGGTCCAGGTGCCCGGCTTGCCCAGATTGTTGCGTGCTTCGCCAGGCCATGGTGAGTGTTCTTGCGTCGAAGATGCTCGCAGGACGCCGATGGCCTCCTAGAAAGCCTACCCTGGCGGCCTTTGTGAGGCCTTGGCGGCAGGCATTTGGGATAGCTTCCACAATGAGGACGAGTTTCCTGAGGCATCTTTATTTGAATTTTCTCTGGATGGCTATGCAGTCTGGTTGGGCCTGCTCGATTTCTATGCCGCCTTGGAGAACCCCTTGCGCTTGCTCACGATTTTCCAGGCCTTGGGCGCAAACGCCATCACAGGACGCGCAACATTGATCATTGATCCTGACAAGTTCCGTTTCAAAGCCTCTGAATCCGACGCCGACTTGATGTAGGTTGCATGTTGTTGCCCCCGACCATGTCCGTGTGCTTCGGAAGGTTCATTGTGATAAGCCGAGACTAAACAGCCAGAGGGATGGTCATTGCCATCGACGGAACGAAAAGACGGTTTCTCTTCTCGGGCGGATGGCTGGCGGAAGTCAGCGGGCACACCCCCGCCTTCTCGGGGCCAATTTGGCCTTCAGCGCGGCGCATGGCCAGAGACCGCCCCAGTTTCGTCAGGGTGCCTTTGGCCTCCTTGGGCGGCATGCGGTCGGAATGAGAAACTCCAGCGGTCGCGGAGAATCCGGCGCCGCACATCCCATTGGACGCCTCCAGACTTCGGGAAAAGAAGGTGTTCCGCAAGCACCCAAGATTGCTCTGGGGTTCAAGATGGACTCCACAGAAGGCCCTCCAGGGCCTTCTGTGGATTCCAGCTTGAACCAGCCCATCCAGACACGAGCCCAGCGGGGCTGCCCTGCCCATGGGAGCGCGGCATTTGGAGATGTCGGGGGCCTGTGTGGGCCAGATGCCCGTTGGATGCCGGATGCTTCCTTCGGTCTCTTGGGGTGTTTTTTGAGGGCCGATTAGGGGCATTTGGGGGTGTCTTGGGGGCCTTTTACCGGCTCCTGTGGGGCCTCTTGTACGGTCGGACGGAGGTATAAGATTGAGGTCGTTTCGGGGAGGGTAGCGGGTAGCCTAATGTTTTTCGTGCTTGTCGTATGTTATTGTGCATCTTGGGGGGAAGGTGCCCTCGAGTGGTCTTGGTGTTTTGGCCGGTGGAGGGTCTCATGTTCTTGAAGGATGGTCTTTTGTCCTAGGTCCGTCCGTAGCGTCGTGTGCGTTTCTAGAGGGCCTAATGAGATCTCTTGGGTCTCTCTTGAGGGCTGTTCGGGCCGTCTTCGGGCCGTCTGGGGGGCAATCGATCAAAGACGGGAGGTCTCTTAACAGCCTTGGTCCACCCTGGAGGCCAAACTTGGCCCAAAACCTACTCCCACCCGCCCTCCCGACACATCGGCAGTACCCGAGCGGAGGTCCCTGATCCCAATGTGTTCGCGAAGTGGGATCCCCTCACAAGCGAAGTACCAAGCATTAATTCAGTAAGAATGTTGGCCTCCCGTTGGGCGCACCGCACAAGCAACTACTGACAAAGCGTGTGTTCCTTGGCATCGAATGCCCACACATCATCATCAAGGGCCGATGATTGTCCTTATGGTGTCCGCCATCGATACAACACTTGGTGGCTCAGCCCGACATGTCCCAGCAGTATGATGCCCAACAACACGACGGATTGCAACATTCCGACGCCTGAGAACAAGGTGGAACCGGTCACATGGCGCCAGGATGAATGTTTTGATGGTTGTTCGAATGATTGTCCTGATGTTTTTCCCGACCGATCAGCCGTTAGTGATATCGATCGATCGACCAGGATAGGAAAGCGGTTGGGATGTAAAGCGATGTGGATGATCCGATGTTTGTCTATTCGTGAGTTGAATTTTGTGTCCAAGGCGAATCAGAGGTGATGCCCCCCCCCGACGTCCTTACAACCCCAACGAAGTCAATGTGGTCTTCTCGCTACGCAGGTTAGGGGCTCAACTGCGACAGGACATCGCGCGCTGTCTGTCCCCGGGCGCCCATGGCGGAAGACACGGGGTTTGGCATTGCACAACGGCAATATGCCGGCCCCCCTGCCGCCCTTGGAGAGAGAAAAAGAGAAAAGCAAAGTGGTCACGGGGCGCCCGCGCATGATCTGGATTGGATCGTTCGTTTTTTTTTGTAAGTTTCAAGTTTTTGGGCCATAACGCGCGTTATGCCCCCACCTTCCCCCCCAACAGCGTAGCGCTCCCCCCCTCCACGTAGTGCGCTTCCAGCGTTGCCATTGTGAGTGATGTTCGCTGGCATTTGTGGCGCTTGCAGGATACTTTAAGGTTCGTCGTGGTGTCCGAGGGCGTCGCAGGGCCTGCAGACGCTTCCAGAAGCCTCCAGAGAACTCCTGAGGCCTCGGGAGGCCTCTGTAGACTTTCCAGAGGCGGCCGTCGTCGTCGTCGTTGTCGTTGTCGTTGTCGTCGTTGTCGTCGTCGTTGTCGTCGTCGTCGTGGTTGTCGTTTTGGACGTCGTCGTTATCCTTGTTTCCGTTCTCGTCCTGGTCCCAGTCGTCGCCGTCCTCGTCCGCGTCCTCCTCGTCCTCGTCGCGGTCGTCGTCTTCGTCGTCGTCGCCGAGGGCTTCGAAAGGCCTCCAGACGCTTCCAGAGGTGTCTGGAGTCTCCCTTAAGCTTCCAGAGACCCCCGGAAACCTCCAGAGGCGGCCGTCGTCGTCGTCGTCGTCGTCGTCTTCGTCCTCGTCGGTGTCGTAATTCTCATCATCATCGTCGTCGTCGTTGTCGTCGTCACTCGTCGTCGTCCTCCTCCTCCTCCTCCTCCTCGGCCCGAAGAAGCGCGACGGCCGACTGGCCTGCGCTCGTATGCCATCTTCTCAAGAGTGGATAGACACGTCAAGAGCCACAAGATGGGTCCCCAAAGCAAAAAGGTCGTCCACATCCTTCCCGTTCCAGGCAATGTTAGTTTTTCGTTTTTTTTTCGAAGAAGCTGCAGCATACGCCCGTGGATTCCGACAACGGGTTCGTGAAGGGGAGGAGGAGGGAGTCCGCGATCTTGGTTTCCAGCACTGGTTCTCATAGGCTACAATCACGTCGAATCCACGCGCTTCGTTTCAAGGACATGAGTAATGCGCTCGCGAGCGGCAACTGGTCGTTCATAGATCAGGCTGTGCAGCAGTATGTGCAAGAATAGGACGGAACACTTTGTCGCCTTCGGTACCGAGGGAACGCGGTAGCTTTACGTGCTGGGGAAGGAGGAAGGGTTGTGATGAAAACTCGGCAGGGCGGGCTCATGGGAGATCTTTTCGTTGTGCCAGCGTTCATCGGCACTTTTCGGGAGCCGATCGCCCACTGGCGACGCGATGTCGAGAACGCCGGTGTATGCAGTCCCGAGTTCACTGCCAAGTGGGAGAGTCCAAAGACTGACCTCAGTCACTTCAAATACGCAGATGATATTCACACCATTGTGCTTGCAGACTTCAACTCGACTCTCCCACACAAGTTGCAGGAGCACGACGGCTTGCTGAACAATAGGTTGGCTCCAGTAGGGCTCGGGCAGAACATGACACATGACGAAGCAAGAGTTGATGTTGTCTCCAGGGTGCACAGCGTTTCCCTGAAGCAGGTCTTGAAGAGGGGGGAGGTGTCTCTGGAGGGCAGCATCCCGGATCAAGTTCGATATTGGGGGCCCCATCTGGCTCTTCGAGATAGCGCCCACCACGAAATTGAGATATGATTTTTCGGCTGCTTGGGTGTCGTTTCGGTCTCTTGGTTCAGTCTGGCAGCTCGACCTCCCGCGGAAGTTTAAGATGCTCTTGGTGCAGGGATTTGGGCTCAACGCGTTGTTGAGCGGTCTGGGGGCTTTCGTCTTGGGGGCTGTCGACTACAACAAACTGGAGATAACCTTGGCTCGATTCTGTAGAATTGCGATAGCTGGGAAAGCCGCGAACTGGGATGGGGGAGCGCCCGCGCACCCTCAGTGGCAAGGCCCTCCTGGACTATTGGAAACCCGCGAGCCCTCAATAAGAGCTCCGCATCCGTTGAATCCGTCTTGTTCAGAGATGGGCACTTCGGCTCAATCATCACAGGCAAGTTATCTGTGCGTTTTTTTGGAGTAGTATCATTTCAGGAAGGGAGCCCACTTGCAGCGACAGGATCCATCCTCTCCGTCTGCGTGCACCTGGTTAGTTCAAATACGAGACGATGTTGTCGACGTCTCTGAGGCTCTTGACAGGGGATTTTGTCGGAGATCGCGGGCGCCTTCCGTATGTTGCTAGATGCAGCGAGCTCGTCGTTCTTCGCGGCTGTTGACGCTGCCGAGTAGAAGGCCAGGCAACTTGCACTGGCCATCCCGCCGCCCGAGCTGAAACGCAACGCGCGGGGGCCGACTGTCACGGGGGCGGCGACCGCCCGAGCTGAAACGCAACGCCCGGGGGCCGACGAGCTGTCGGCAGCGATCGAGACCGATGCATGGAAATGTTGGCTTTCTTCTGGGCTTCGAGACGACGAACCGCGCGACGCGAGTCCCACGAGCCGAAGAGATCTAATGAACCACCTCCGACGAGCCCATGGGATTCGGAATCTGTGTCTTGTACTGACGCCTAGCCATGAGCGCGTACACTTTCGTCAAGTATTTGCATGTCGCGCCAATGCTGCGAAACATCTTCAAGGCTCGATATTCCGCGGACATTGTGAGGCCGCGGGCCCATCGCCATTGCGAGAGGCGAAACCTCTGTCGTCCTTCGCCTGCCCAGTGTGCGAGTCTAGGGCTCGAGCTGTGATGATCTGTATCTTCATATTGCTATCCATTTTCCAAGCCGGCCTCGCTCTTATGGTGCGCGCGTCAGGGGCCGAGAATGTCGGGATGGCGCTCGGGGGCGGAATGGGGCTTCCATCGCGGCACAAGTGGCCGCCGGAACGGAAGACCGACGCGACGGGCGCAAGCGAGGGCGGCGAGCGGCCCAAGCACCACAAGCCGGCAGGAAAAGGCAGAGGTGGAGGAGGCGGCAACAAGAAGGGCCACGCCGACAAGCAGGAGGAGGCGCACCGGCGATTGACGATGACACCGGCGCGGGGCATGGCCGACGTCAAAAGCGCCCTCTACCTCATTTTCGAGATCGACGCCGACGCGGGGATCGCGAAGGCGCGCAAGGCCGCAGGCGTGGCCTACAACAAGCAATCGCAGGATATGAAGGAGCAGGCCCAGACAAGAAACAACGTCGACTTCAAAGCGAGGGGGCCCCCGCATCTGCACGCGGTAATGGCAGCAATCTTGCGCGGAGTGGGGAGGCCGGTCGCAGACGAGGGCCCCGAGGACCAGCAGGTTCTGGAAAAGGAGATGGTCGATTTCTACCGGCAGCGCATCTTCCCAGCCAGCTCGAACTTGATTGGCCGCAGCATTCCATACTTTCGCTGCGAGATTCCGAAAGCACAGGAGGATCAGAAAGCGAAGGCGCTCATCAGCGTGAGTTTCCACAGGGATCAGCAGAGGGGCCAGGTCGTGTCGACCTATCTCGAGCGCCTGATCAAATCCGAGTCGGGGGAGTTCGTGGGAGGAGCGGCGCCCGGGGGACCGCTGCAGAGGATGATCGGGAAGGATCTCGAGAAGGCGAGGGCGAATTAGTACGTTCTGAGGCCCCGGGCAGTGCGAGCGCCCCTGCAGGTGCTTTAAGGGAAACGTTTTTTGAGCCTCGGTCTCGGGGGGGCGGGGTCCAACAGCATCGGTTTCGCGAATTAGTGGAGAGAGGAGTTTTGCCCGAGGATGTTCTTAGGACTTCTATGGCCTCTGGTTTTATATGCGCTGCACCGCCCCTCCCTGGCCCCGTCCCTGAGAACCCCTTGTAGTCTTGGCCCCCAGGGCGAAAGCGGGCTCCAAAGGCAGAGGCAAGGGCCGTGGTCGTGGAGGTCGTCGTCTTGGGACGGGGGCGGTGTCGGGTGACGCCTCGTGCCTTTGGAGCCTGCCCCCACCAGGCTGCACGCCGCAAGGGGGGGGGGGACAGGCCAATGCCGCTTCGCGGAGCGCTCTGAATCGGATCGCTTCGGGAGGATCCGAAGCGATCCGATCAGAGCTCTCGATATGTTGACTGGTTATCCTAGGAACTTAATCGCAGTCTGGCGGTACTTGTCGCAGGACTCCATGAGCTATTCTATCATATTATACTTCTCGTCCCCGTCCTCGTCCGCGTCCTCGTCCTCGTCGTCGAAGATGTCGAAGGGTCTCCAGACGCCTCCAGAGGTCTCCAGAGACATTCCCAGACTTCCACAGACCTCTGGAGACCAGCAGGGGCGGCCGTCGTCGTCGCCGTCCTCGTTCGCGTTCGCGACCGCGTCGTCATCGTCGTCCTTGTCTTCGTCCCCGTCCTCGTCCCGTCCTTGTCGTCGTCCGCATCGTCGTCGTCGTGCTCGTCCTCATCGACGTCGCCGAGGGCCGCGAAGGGCTTCCAGACGCCTCTCGAGGTTTCCTACGACTTCCGTAGGCCTCCAGAGACCTCCAGAGACATTCAGAGGCGGCCGCCGTCGTCGTCGTCGCACTCGTAGTCGTACTCGTACTCGTCGTCGTCGTCGTCGTCGTCGTCGTCCTTGTCCTCGTCGTCGTCCTCGTCCACGTCGTCGTCGTCGTCGCCCCCATTGTGTCGTCGTCGTCGCATTCGTCGTCGTTGTCGTCGTCGTCTTCGTTTGGCGCTCATGTGACCGCGTCCTCCAGCAAACACCAACACATAATGATGGTCAATGGAGGGCGTGGGGGAAAAATCACTATGGTGTACGATGGTGCACGTATGCGCTGCGCAGTATATAGGCCATGTGGTGCACGAGGCTGCGGCGGTGCATGCTGTCCTGCGCATTGTGCTGCTTTGTTATGGTACGCGCAGGCGGTGTGGTGCCGGAACCATAGGGTGTTGGAGGGGGGTTTACGTCATGCCTTCCCCCGCTCCCCCCCCAATAACGCCGGTTATGGCAGCGAATATAAAAAGCGCGCTCTTTTGTTGTTCGGTGATTTTTGTGTTGTTCGTTGCAGAGGATGGCGGGGGGGGGACCGGCATTTGCCTGAGTTTGTCGCCAGTCTGGTGGGGGAGGGGGTGTTCGCAAATTGGGACCACTGACGGACCCCTTCAATGGTTGCAAGATGAATCGCGCTAAACCAACTTCGCCCTAAAGGGCTGGTGGGATTCGCTCGCCCGAGAGCCCTACGTCGCAGGGTCCCGTCTTTGAACAGCCGGATCCTGGATCCTCGATCTTCCCCCTCGATCCTTGATGCGCCTCCTCCGCAGTCCTCGATGCTCGCGGCAGGAGATTTCAAGCAGGCCAACATATTCTTCCGGGCCGCGCCCAGCGGCGAGGAGCCCGAGGTGGCGACGGCAACGGGCCTGGCGACGATTTCGCCGCCGTTGTCGTCATAGAAGTTTGTCAGAGTCTCCGCAGGCTGCAGGTTCTCGTCGCCCTAGCCCAGCGCGGCTTGGAACATTCTCCACGGTGGGCCACCGTGTTGTCCGCTGTTCGGTCGGTTCGTCTGCATCGCAGTCGCTTCGGTTCGGTCGCCTGTTGCGTCGTTGCTGCGTTGCCGCGTCCTTCTCCGGTGCGTACGCTAGATCCTGTCCCAGGTCGGTCTCGTCGACGGCTTCGGACCACGGGAGGGGTCCACAGACCCTGTCTGAGACCTCCGTGCGTCTAAGTTTGGCGAACGACGCTCAAGAGCGGCGACGATGACGGGTGACGTCGACGGACGCTGGATTGCGAACGGCGACAAACGACGACAACCACCACAGCCACGACCTCGACGGACGACGGGATGACGCCGACGACAAAGATGGTCGACGGACGACGGATGACGATGGCGATGGACGATGATGACGAACGATGGACGACGACGGCGACGACGAAGAACGAAAACGACGAACGCTGGAAGACGAAGGACGAAGGACGACAGTAGACGACGCCGTGGCCCGACGAAGGACGACGACGACAACGAACGATCGAACGAGCAACGAACAACTGGCGGCGTCGAGGACGGCAAACGACGACGAACGACGTCGACGACGAGCGACGGACCGTGGACGAAGTACGACGGACGCCGACGATGACGACGGATGACAGACGACGAACGGTCGTCGGGCCACGACGACGGACGACGACGGCGACCGACTGGCGACAGGCGACGGACGACGACGGCGACAAACCGGCGGCGGCGGCGGGGCGCCCCGAGGTTGCGGTGATCGACTGGCAGTGGGCCGGGCCAGGCCCTGGCGTCACCCGCCTTCGTCGCCCGTCGGCAGCGCCGCCGCCATCGTGGTCGGGGCATCGACGGCGGTGTCGGCGGCAGCGTCGCCGTCGACGTCGACAACGATAGTCAGAGGAGGATGCCGCTACCGATACCAGCTGGATTCGCTTCGGAAGTCTGGTCAGAACGCCCTTGGAAAGGTCGGGGGAGCAGCGGTATCGGTACTTGTGTCCCCCCAGATGGGGGGTGGGCTCATGGGGAAACGCATCGATCCCAAATCGCCCACTCATCACCGATTCCGAAGGAGGCCCAAGATCTCCACGGCTCTGTTGTGAAACAGTCCTGCTCGCGAGGCGAAAACAAACCCTACTTGAAATGGTGGGCAGAGCCCTTCCCTGTATTCTTCCCTTTGGAGCCGTTCTTGCCTACACCTGTGTTTCGAAGCTGCTCAAGCTTGCTCCGTGGGTTCTGTACCATTTGCGGGAACTCAGGGAAGTCAGCGTGAGTGAGCCTCTCCTCCCAGCCAACGCGGTACTCGACCTTCAGCGTGCCACCGTCGATGGTTACCTGAATCGTAATGTCGTCTCCGAGCCACACCTTTCCCCCCTCGGGATTGGCCCAGACGCTGTTGTTGGTGTGCCTCCACTCCTTCAGCATGTATTCAGCACTCTAAACACACGAACTCAAGACCCCCTGGGGCAGAGCCATGTCTGGCTTAGCCCAGACTGTCTTGCCACTTTCCTTGAAGATTTGTTCCAGAGAGTCTGCTCAGCTGTGTCATTGCCAGTCTGGTCCCAGAACTACGCAAAGATCATGCTGTGAAATTCGTGGTTGACGTGGACGTCTTCTGGCAGTGGCCCGTAGTATTCCTGAAGTTTATTCTTCAGCCAGTCGCGGGTTTTTTTCCATACCTCAGAGCGATTTCAGCCCTCCAATCACCGCGGTCAACTCCTTGTCCTGGTGTTTGTCGGTGCCAGGGGTGATCAATTGTTCGATCTCCACCTGCAGCGCCTTGATTTGGTCCCAGATCTCTATGTTGACGCTGCGTGGGGATGCCGGTGATCCGCTTATGTGCTCATACATATTTTCCAGATTCGTCAGGCGGATGTCGATGTCTTCCAGGTGGTTCTCCACCTCCCTAATCCTGCCGTCGAACGTCCCGCTCATCTCCTTCAGGCGCTTGTCAAAGTTCCCGATGATGGTGTTGATCGGCTTGACCTCCTGGCGGAGGATGTCTGGGATTTTCTATAGAGTTGGAGGATGTTGATGCTGTTGAGGTTGCGGCGGGAGTAGCCGGGGGTACTGGCGAACAGGTCTGACGTACCTCCGGCTGGGGTGGAGAGTCGAGGTCATCTAGCCAATCCATCTCGTGGAGCGGGCTAGACAAGCGTTGGCGAACGTCGCGCTCAAGAACTCCTCGAGCAGGTGTCCCTGGCGCTCGCGTGCCCGTACCTGGCCTCACAAGGTATGGGAAGGGGAAGCGGACAAGTGGCGTGGTGGTAAGTGAGAAGGGTACGAGTATGCGGAAGTAGCCTGCTTGGCTGCCCAGGCTCGAGCCAGACCCCGGGGGCTGCAGAGTGAGGCGAGAAGCTGGGGCGCCTTGGGCCAGGGACGCTGTCTGCAACACCCAAGCCAGGGAGGGCGTTAGCACCTCGCCCGTCCTCTGCGCGCACACCTTGACGGGCGAGGGCGTCTGTGCTCGGGCCCCCGTGCTTTGGTTCGCCCGTGCGCCTCCAGACCTTCGGCTGCTCGAAGATGCCGAGGCTCAGGCTTCTCGGAGAGCCTCTTACTTTCGGCCTCCAGGGGCTGGTCTCGGACCCTGCAGGCTGTCAGAGGTCGGCTCCAGACGAGGAAAGCCAGTGAACAGAGGAAGGGTCGAGAGGTCCTGGGAGCCTCGTGTCTCGAAATTGCCGAGTCGTCGGAGGTCTAGGTTGGTCGGAGGGGCTCGCTGTTTAGGTACAGCACGTCGTTTTGTCGGCCAAGGGCAAAGGAGCCAATGAATTTGGCGATGGACTTCGGTGTGTAGTGTAGACGCCCCAGCATCGTGCAGGTTGGGGAGCTGGGGCGTCTACACACCAAGCACACTGGCCGACCAGACGACTTTGTGTATGCTTCGAGCCCCTCTCAGTCGGCAGCTCGGCCCAGGTCACAGCGCCCAGTCACTCCGTCTGCCCTGTGTCTTCTGGCAGGCGCCGCGCCCTGCCCAGAGGGCCCCAGATATCCTCCGATATGATTTTGTCCCTGCACGTGGCCCCCTAGTCCCGAATCCGTTTTTGATGATCCCGGAGCCCGAAGGCGGCTCCATGGGCCGAGCTGACGGACCAATGCCGCGGGGCGGACGTTCCCTGACCTCCTCGCGTTGAGAAGGCATGATCTTGCCGAAGGACCCAACCATTTGCAGTTGCGAGTACTGTCGCTGTGAGTATCACCTTCGGTGGATTTCCGTATGCGGCGGCCACGAAGCGTCTGGGGGGTGTGCCGAAGTTGGGGCTATCTGTAGGCCCCTCTATGTGGCCCCGAAACGTGTGAGGGTTGTGCCGACATGGGGCGGGGCCGCCATGCGGGCGTTGTCATTAGGGCCTTCAGTTGGCTCCCTTTGGAGCCACGCAGCGCTGTAATGGGTGGGGGAGACGCATAGGGACGGTGCCATTGAGGCCTTCGGTGGAGCTCCCTATGGGGCCACGAAGTGCTGTACGTGGTGGTGGAGGCGCATGCGCACGGTGCCACAGGGGCCGTCGGTGGAGCTCCCTATGGGACCACGGAACGCTGTGCTGGGTGGGGGAGACGCGGACGGACGGTGCCATTGGAGCCTTCGGTGGAGCTCCCTATGTATGAGGAGTGTGGCGAATGGGACATCGGGAGAGCAGAGGAAGGGATGGGAAGAGGGAGGAGGGGAGAGGAGGAGGAGGGGGGTCCTTGCGGACATAGAAGAGATTGGCGAAAGTAGCCGGCCGATTTCAGTGGGCGGCTGTCGGCGGGCGGCGTTCGGTGGGCGCCCCCTCAAGAGATTGGCCAAAGTAGCTGGCCGATTTCGGTGGGCGGTTGTCAGTGGGCGTCCCCTCCTTCTCTTTTCCTCTCTTTCTGCTAATGCTGATGTTTTTTCTGGGCCGTTGTGGGTTCGTGTTGTGGCCCTCTTCAGTCGTCGAGGGGTCCTCTCAGGCCGTCGAGGGTACCTCTGGAGGCCCGCCTGGGTCATCGTGGGCCCCTAGTGCGCCGTCCTGGGGCGATAATGGAGACCTCATGGGCCATTTTGAGCCGACAGATGCCCGAAATGGCGACGATGCCACAGCCTTTCTGACACGCAAGGGCAATCAATGAATTGGTTAGTCTCTTAGGGCCCCCTTGCGAAACTGCGGCCGGGCATGGTGCTTGCAAAATGTTCGGACCATCCACTGATTTGGGTTTTTCTTGGGTGTATAATTTACAACAATGGTCAAACAGCAGGATGTCGGGAAATAACGACGGATGTTTTTTCGTCATTTTCGTCCTCTGGCCTTACCTGGGCCCGGCGACGGTCAAGAAGCTACCCAGGATGTAAAGGCGGTTCCAGGGAAGGGGCTAGGACCTCGGGGTCCCCTCGGTGGTATTGTTTTTCGCCATTTTAGACCGCAATATCCCTTCGAGGGTCGAGGGCCTCCTTGGTCTTGTGCGCTTGCGGGAGTCTGTTGGCGAGGCCCTGCGCCGGCGGCAGGCTGAGGGCAGCCTCCCCCTCCGAACAGGATGTCGGCGCCGCCCAGGTGGCCGGTGGTGCGGCGGCCGCTACCCGCGAGGGCAAAGCGGCTGTCGAGGCGCGGTGGGCACCCACCGCCAGTGCCGCCCACCTCCAACTTGGCCGGCGGCCCCCTGCCCGACTTGGGCGGGCCGCTGGCGGGCTGCGCCTTCGAGGTCATCATTCTGTACATGTGATGCAGGTTGAATTATGAAAGAGACTCCCTGGAGGAGCGGCACGTAATTCTAGATGAAGGGCCGACACGACTTGGTACCGGATGATAGCCCGGTGGGCGTGGATACGCCAAGAAATTCAATATGAGGAAAACAATATGTACCAACAATATAGAAATCCACAAGAAGAGTACATACAAGACGAATTCATCATGTTGCGCGTGATTGGGAGGCACATCAGAAGCCGCCCTGCTGCCGGCACAAGGCGTCCCAGAGGTCACGCTTTTGGTGGCTGGCCGAGGCCCGGGAGGTTTGGGACTCAATGTGAGACGTGGCGTCGTGAGCACGCTTGGCCTGCGCCGCAACCGTGGTCAAGGTGAAGCGGAGCAGGTCGCTGACCAAGTTCCCGCCGCCGCCGCCCTTCCCGCCACCGCCCTTCCCGCCGCCCTTCCCGCCGCCGCCGCGCCGGCCCTGGGGGGGGCGCTGTTGCTGCTGCTGCTGCTGCTGCTGCTGCTGCTGGAGCAGGGCGCCGGCGCCGAGGCCGCCCGCAGCTGCTGCGGCGGCTGCTGCGGCCGCTGCGTGCGGCGGCTGCGGCGGCTGCTGCGGGGGCTGCTGGGCCATCCGCTGCTGGGGAGGCTGCTGCACTGGCGCCGCTGGGGCCCCGCTCCCGGGGCTGGCTGCAGCGTCCTCGCGCCGGGGTGTGTGGCTGCGGCGGCCGCCAGCGTCGCGCTCGCCAGCGCTTGGCTCCAGGCCCCCCCCGGGCCGCCCTGCAGGCCGGGGGGCGCCGGCGCGCCCGCGGGGGCCAGCAGCAGCGGCGGCGGACACCTGCGCTTCGGCCCGGGCGACGGCCTCCGCGGCCTTTCGTGCGAGCCATGGGCCCAGCGCAGGACGGGCGCGGGGGGCGGCGGGGCCTTGGTCGCAGACGCTGCGGGAGCTGCAGCACGGCGTCGGCGCACCGAGTGCAGCGAGAGCAGATGGGGCACCCATGGGCTCCCAAACAGTGGCGGGCGATACACTGAGGGCACTTCTTGCATCTCGCACAGGGCGGGCAGGCAGCAGCGGCCACGGCGGCAGGACACACAGTACGAGGATGAGCAGAAAGATGAGCTTCCCAACGCTGGCGGTGAGCAGCGACAG